ACCTGGGACCCAGCAGTCACAGGCCTGCCTTCCGTGTCTTCCCCTCCCTCCCCCAGAGCTGCCCTCCTCGGAGCACCTGAGCGTGGCAGGCGCCACCTGGCTGGCCCTGAACGTGGTGTCGGGCGGGGGTGGCTTCTCCGGCTCACAGCCCATCGGCGTGACCAAGATTGCCAAGTCAGTCATCGCCCCGCTGGCCGACCAGAACATCTCCGTGTTCATGCTGTCTACCTACCAGACAGACTTCATCCTGGTGAGCCGGGGCCCCGCCCGCCGGGGCCGTGGGTGGGGTGGTCCACAGTGGTCCCCGGCCCCGTCCTGTGATCCGCTCACGGAGACGTCAGGGGTGCCTGGGGGTCATCGGTCAGGGGTCAGCACCACCCAGGTGGGGCTTCAGGGCCCTGCCCGGCCCCACACACCGCCTGCCTTTCGTAAGCCATGCTTGCTTTGACCCGGGGGCCAGGAAGTAAGGGGCACAGACCTGCACCTCCCGGCCCTCCGTGCGGTGTCCTCTGCCCTGCATCCTCCCAGCTGCCCCTGAGGAGGCGCACACACCCGGTTCCAGGCTCCCATCCGCTGCCCCCCCCCGCCGAGGGTTGCAGGAGGGTCACGGGCCGCGGGACACTCACATCCTTGACTCCCCGCCCCCAGGTGCGTGAACGGGACCTGCCCTTCGTCACGCACACCTTGTCGTCAGAGTTCACCATCCTGCGGGTCGTCAATGGCGAGACGGTAGCAGCTGAGAACCTCGGCATCACCAATGGCTTCGTGAAACCGAAGATGGGTGAGTTGGGGCAGGGGGGTGCCCTACAGGGGAGACCCCTAGAAGTTACCAGGTCCCACCCCGGAGCGGCCCCAGAGCGGAGCGTACATTAAGCACCAGCGTAACACAGCATAACAATCCTGGTCAGACATTGCTGTCAAGGGTTAGCAAGGAGGGGAGACACGGACACAGCCGGCGATGGCCAGCGGCCACTCCTCACCCACCCAGGGTATCAGGGCAGACCTCCCAGAGGCAGTGACTCTCGAACTGAAGCTTGGGGCACAAGTAGGAGCTCAGCCAAGTGGTGGAGGTTGGAAAGGGCATTCCAGGCAGACAGCAGGGCATGTGCAAAGGCCCGGGGGTCTGGAGGTGAGCCTAGGGAATCAGGAGAGCTGTGGGTGATATTAGAGGCTACAGAAGGGACAAGGGCCAGGTCTCCTCCACCTTCCCGGGCCCTCCTGCCCAATGCTGCTCTTCCCTGAGCACCTGATGTCTTTGCTGAGCCCTGAGCATCAGGCCTGAGCACCTGATGTCTTTGCTCTCCCAGTCCAGAGGCCTGTCATCCACCCTCTGTCCAGCCCAAGCAACAGGTTCTGTGTCACCAGCCTGGACCCTGACACGCTGCCTGCGGTCGCCACACTCCTCATGGACGTCATGTTCTACTCCAACGGGTACGGCCCCCTTGGGCATGAGAGGCTACAGGGGTATCGGGGGGATGAACGTGACCCTGCCCGGGAGCCCCAGTCCGAGGAGGGAGACACAGACCTGCCCTGAAAGCTGGTCTGGTGGTGGAGGGGGGTGGAGGGGGTGCATCACGGCTCTACCCAAAAGGCCCGCTCCAAGAGGGGAGACATTCTTCCTGGAGAACCCCGAAACTGGGGGAAGCCCCGAGTGCACATGTACATGTAATGAACACCCCACTGTCGTCCCCTGAGGTCCAAGGGCAAGAGCCCAGTCAGTCGAGGAGCCAGGACCTTGGGATTTTTCATTCAGCAGACAATAGGCTTTGCATTTTTCCTCAGAGCGGATTTTAAGTTTAGGCCAACGCTGAGTGGGGTGGGACCAGGGGCCAGTGAGCTGGCAGTGACCACAGCCTGTGCCCTGAGACTGGGATCGGTGCAGGGACAGAGGACGCTGCTGAGGAAGGGACACGTGTAGTCTGCACTCGGGGTCTTCCGGGTCTCCGGTGCTGCGAAGTGTGGTGCACGCCTTGGTGAACGCCCTGGGCTCATCTGTATCTCACCAATGACGAGACTGCGGGGGGCGGGGGGCACAGGTTCAGGGTCACCCAACAGGGCGGGGTCAGGGCCAAGTCCTGGGGCTTTCCCAGGCTTCCGAGCACTGTGTGCCGAGGCCTGTGGGCAGGCAGGTGGGCCGGGTGGGGGTCCGGGTGCAGCGGGGGCCCACTGCCCCCCCTCACCAGCGCCCCCTCCCCGGCCCCCCAGAGTGAAGGACCCCATGGCCGCCGGTGAGGACTGCGGCCACATCCGCTTCTTCTCTTTCTCCCTCATTGAGGGCTACATCTCCCTGGTGATGGACGTGCAGACCCAGCAGAGGTGAGTTGGGCCCAGGGTGGGCTGGCTCCGTGGTGGGTGCCCTTCGTACCTAGTGGGTGCTCAGCACAGCCCTGCCTCATGGGTGAGCTGGGCCCATCTTTCAGATGACAGCAGCTCAGAGAGATGAAGGCCTGGGGCCGTCGGGCGCTCCCCGTCTCTGGGGTCAGGGCTGGGGATGGCATCCCTCGTGCAAATTGGCTAAGGGGGGCATTTGTTCCAAAGCCCGCTCCCAGCCTTGCCCTCCCCTTCTGCCCAGATGAGGAGGGCACGGAGAGGGGGTCCTTGACACCCTGGAGCTCCCGAGCCCCCTCGCTGTGGCCCCGCATCAGCGCCCCGAGGGCCGGCCAAGGGACCACGACCAACGTCAGCCTCTTGGTTTTTCTCTCTTTGTTAAGGTTCCCTAGTAATTTGTTGTTCACGAGTGCGTCCGGAGAGCTCTGGAAGATGGTGCGGATCGGAGGACAGCCCCTGGGATTTGGTGAGTCCCGTGGGGCTCCACACTGGTGGGGGGGG